AAAAGCGATGCTCTCGTACTTAGAAAGTGTAGAAAGGGATCCAATGAAAAATTATTTGTCGTGTTTTTGGTCATAAAAACACAAAAATAGTGAAACACAATGTGTAGTACAAGTGATCGATGGCCTGATTCACGATATATATATATATATATATATATATTCAATATATATTGAAAGTCAAAACAAAATAAATTAATTTATTATTCAAAACAATTATTTGATAGATTACAATGTTATGAAATGCATGAATGACTGAAAAATGATTGTATTATATAATAATATTATGTATTCATATATTACAGTATTTTATAAATTATTAATTTTGATCTATTTTTATATATTGATTGTGACACATTCAAACCATTGTATGTTTTTCAAATAAAAATTAATGTCTTTATTGTTAATATTATTTATATAAATAAATAGCAATTTATATAATTATTTACATAAAATTTACTAATTGAATTTTATTTATTATTCAAGATTTTTTATTTTAAAATTATTTGTATTTTTATATCTGAATTAGAATATCTTAAAATTGTTTTACTAATATTGTTTGTTAAATTGTATTGCATAATATTTTTATACAAACAAAAAATAAATTGTATGCAAATTAACAAAACTTCACTTAATTATAGAAGTTTTAATGCTTTCATTTGTCTTTTATTATTAGATTGAGATTTTAAAAAGCAGTTAATACACTGTTAATTATGCTAATTACCGGTAAATGAAAAAATAGAAATTAGATTTTTAATGTTATAATAAAATGTAATTACATGTCTATATCTACATTATAAAAGCAAAACAAAAAAAGTATGATTGAATAGTAATTGTATTTTAAATTCAATTCATTATCTAACAAAAAAAGAGATGAGTTTATAAGAGTTTGCAAATACATAATATTATTTATCTATATATCTAATATATATATTATAAAGTATATCCCATATCAAAATTTTTATATATATATATATTTATATCTAGATTATTCAATAAGCTCTTTATATTACTTTATATAAATAATAATAAATATAATAGTAATAAGAAAATATAAAAATATATATAACAATGATTTTTATATAACAAGCTTTGCTTTTGAGCTTTAGTTAACATTGAGATACATTGTATATAAAAAAAGTATAATAATACAGAATAATCGATCAAAAAATGCTACAGATTTTGCTGAATTGGCACCAAAAACAATCAGACATTACAACTAATGCATCAATTTTTTTTATAAGCAAAGCAAAAATGATTTTTTATTTTTAAACTAATATTAGAAAGTATCGAAAAAATACGATTCAAAGACAATAAAGAGATAAAGAAAGAAACGATGAGGACTGTGAAGGAACGGTAGGCTAGAGAGCACTCAAACAATGCCAGTTAAGGCAAACCTGAATCGCCAACTAAATGATGACATTTCTTTCAAAAGGCCATACCTCTCAGCTTATCCCTCAACAACATTATATACACTATATATACAGTATATATATATATATATCTTATTTACTTATAAAGAGTCACCGATTTTATTGTAGTATTTTTGTTACTCTAAAATAAAAACATTTAAAGTGTAAGTTATGATTGTATTGAATCAAAACAATAAATTTTTAAATCACAACAAACAAAACAACTAAAAAGATTTTACACATAAGTTATGTGACATAACACACATAAAATTATTTTYTCTTCAAATAGTATTTTAAGGATTATTTTCACATCAAATTAAAAGTATTTTATCGTTTACTTTATTTTTATTTTTATTGTATATATTGTATTTGTAATAGTTTTATATATATACTGTACATCTATTCACACAATATTGCATTATCTCAACACTTTAACATATTTTTCATTTAAAATATTTTTTGATTACATGTCAAAACAATTATCAATAAAATTATTTAACAATAAACAACTTAAATTTTACATAAACATTAGAAAACATAAAGTAAAATAAGTAAACTACTATAAAGCCACTTAAAAGTTTTGAATTTTTATTTAATGTTATCGAAACTTTAAAAACTAATTTAAAATTTGTTATCCACTTTATATTGTTCATTATATGTTTATCCCATATGGCACTAAATATAACAATAATTAGGAGCAAAATGTTAAACAAAAAACAATATACTCGACAAAACCATTTGACAGAAATAGTGCTTTCATTGAATACAAACTATTTTTAAAATACATTCATTTATCATACAATTCCTGCAATTTTATTGTTATATCAGTTGTCATGTAATTTATATATTGTTACAATAATATCACGAAAACAACACATCTCTACATAATATAATTTATGCTTCAATACATTAAAACTAAATGCAAATTCTTGGCTAAAAATTGCATAAATCAGTGTTGAAATACTATAAGTTTAAGGAAGTAATGCATATAATTGTATTAATACTGTATTTATTAAGTAAATGTTTTATTTGAAAAATTTTATACTCAAATTGGTTTTGTATTTGATACAATGTACAGTATATATATAAATTATAAATTGCAAAATACCTATATCAATAATTTTGTTTTTTAAATTTGTTAAACTGTGTAATTTATATTCTAGTTAATCCATCAAAACAATAAAAAAAATAATTAAATACATTTATATTATTATTTATAATTTATATTGATAAACTTACCAAATAATAATACTAAACTAATTAACAGTAAGTAAAGTTTCATTAAATATGAAAATAATTTCCATTTAATTAGATTTGCCATAATATCCAGTATTTAAATTGTTATTTTTATTAATATTAATAAACTTTTTGTCACATTAAACATAAATAGATAATTTTTTAATTAATTTCTTAATATTTAATTACACTATTTTAAAAATAGTTTATTTTAGTTTTATAAATAAATTGATAATTAAACATAAAAAAGTTTTYTAAGTTTATTAAATAAAGTGTCAATTTATATATACAATATATGAAATAAAGTTTTTGAAATAATTGTAAAATAATTAAATAAAAACATATTAAACACAATTTTGTTTAATAAATCAGTTTTCATCAAACTTTTTCTTATGCATACAATCAGTGACCTGTCTATGAGCTCAGGTACGACACAATATTTAAATTAATGACAAGTTGTTATCACTRGTGAATATTAGCGCACATATATGTAGACAATTGATGGATAGCTTCACACACACCACAGTCATAGTCTTCAAATGTAATACTAAAACATCTGTTATGTGTTTAAAATAAGTGTAAAGTTTTGTCTCAACATTTCGTGGCTAAAGATATGCACCAAATGTGAGATGAGATGAATGAATGCATTGAATGTATGAATGAACTAATGCCAGACCAGTCAAAGCAATGTCTATATAACTGACAGCACATACACACCGAACACAACGTTGCTATGAATACAACACACTATTATCTGTACCGACACTTACCGTTCATATCTAACACACGTATTATATTCAATGGATTGTCGGCTATAGAGAGTCACTGCAAATATTGGATCAAATTCTTTGCCAAAACTTATTCATACAATACGTTATGTTTGGACACACCTTTCAAAGCAAGACATATACCTTTTATACAGGTATTCCCACATATACTTCACATTATTTTATTATTACAACTGTTTAACTAACTTTTGTTAAATTTTGTTTTCAAATATTAATTATAAAAATATTAATTATATTACATTAGATTACTATTGATTTATATAATATCGATAATTTAGTAAAACTAGTTGTCTATACAATCATTTTCTAGTCATTTATTTTACTTTTCAAACTTTCTATAATACAGATTCCCTCTAACGGTGCTAATTGTAAACCAAAATATTATTACATTTACTCGAAACACATTCAATCAATTCACACATTGATTATAATTTTAAAATTTTCTTTAATAATACATTAAATATCTATTAGAAAATTGCAATTAAACAAACAATTCAAAGTAAATCAATTTATATGTTTAGATTAATTAAATTTTTAATTTAAAATTATGATTTAAAAAATAAAATATAATGACTATTAGCAAAATGTAACCTAACATTAGGGACAGGGATTGCGCGCCATTACCCAAACAGTTGATCAATGGGTGTATTGAATGTTATGCTATTTGAAGAGCGGCTCTAAAAGTATGTGTTGTGTTCACCATTTGAATCGCTATTAAAAATCATTATTAAAAACACAAATATAATACACATATAATACACACCAATACTACTACTACTCTGTTATGTAATCCATATATTCTGTTAATAATAAGTTATTGTATTTTTTAAAAAATAAAAACATTTTAATTGAAAATTTGTTTAAAATATACATTGAATTTGAAATGTATTTGAATGACTCAAAAAACAATGATTTAAATAATGATTAACACAACGACTATTTTAGTCATATGTTTGTAATGATAAGTATTTGAATTTTTTTTCAAAATACACTTTTATCCGACAAATAATTGATATATAAATTTAAATGTAGTTTAAATTAATATTATATTTTGTGTGAAAATTGTTTTTTTATTGTAAAACACATTCAACTCATCCATACATTTGATTGACATTTGAATTATAAAATATATTCAATATTTTTAATATGAAAACCAAAAATACATTTGTTATTCATCTCAAGTAATGATTATAATAAATATTTATCAATTGGTTTGTATTGTTATTATTATTATTAGTATTAATCTGATTTAATGATATATATTACTATATTTAGTATATCTTTGATGATATTATTATTAATCAAATGATTGGTATTTATTATATGATATATTAATTAATTATTAATTTTTGTTTATTTTGTGATTTCAGTTGAATATCATTGAAGTTAATCATTGATTTGGACTTATATTTAGTGAAAACAGTTGTGTTTGTCGTAAATATTGTTATTATAAATATTATTGTTATTTAATATCACAAATAATTAATCAATTGTTGTATTGTTTGTGTGATCACTTGTGGACCAACTCTTGAGCTTAAAAATTATAACAACAAACTCAACAAATCATCGATAATATAGTGACYGAAGACTTTGATATATAATTATTAAATGAGATCTTTATATTGTTTTTTGGTTTGTTTTATTGTTTTTTAATTAAATGTCTTCACCGACTGTATGGCGTGTTTGTGGTCTTTGCAATTGGTTTGCAGTATTGTCGTCGTTGTCATCATCATTGGTGAGCATTGGTAGTAATGGTTGTGCGTCGAGAGGAAGCGCACAAAGCGCTGGAACTGCTTGAAGAATACCAAATATCACTGAATTTACCCGAAGATAAACAACTTCGGGAAGCCATTGATCGTGTGATCCGTATATTTAAGTCACGATTATTTCAAGCATTGCTTGATATTCAAGAGTTTTATGAAATAACACTTTTAGACAATAATAAGTCGATACAACAGAAGACCTCCGAAACCATTGATATTGCCTTAAAGTGGGAGAACTCACCGCTTATATCCAATTCGGGATCTTCTCTGCAATCAAACAGTAGTCCACTCTTAACGGTCAACAGCTTTGAACGGTTGTCCACCCGTTCGTTAAGTGCTAAAAGTAGTGAAGCCTTATATCAAGTTGACGAAGAAGTCAATAACAAACCCAAACACGTGTTTATTACCGACTCTGAGGACATTGATTTGTCTGAATCATTGGATGCATTGTCTCGTATGGACAGATTGACACAATCCTCTTCTCCCTTTCCTTTTGTCAAAACAATGGCTGATTCACCCAATCGTCGCAATAATGATATTATCCGAACAGTTCTTCATAATAATAATAATAATAACGACAATATCAATGAAAATCATTTACACGATGAAGAACTTCTTCTAGAGAGTCATCAGTGGGAATATGAAGAGATTACACTTGAAAGGGGTAACTCTGGTCTCGGATTTTCAATAGCCGGCGGCAAAGACAACCCTCATATCGGTGACGATCCAAGCATTTATATAACCAAATTAATTACCGGAGGCGCCGCTGCGTCAGACGGTCGCCTTCAAGCGGATGACATAATACTGAAAGTAAACGAATATGATTTGGTAGACGTTCCGCACTCGGCTGCCGTCGAAGCACTCAAACGGGCCGGAAATCGGGTACATCTCTTAGTTAAGAGAAAGAAACCATCGAATTATCAATTATTAGAAATTGAATTAATTAAAGGCAATAAAGGATTAGGTTTTAGTATTGCCGGTGGTATTGGCAATCAACACATCTCCGGTGATAATGGTATTTATGTGACCAAAATCATGGAGGGCGGGGCAGCACATCTTGACAGACGACTCGATGTCGGCGATAAGTTAGTAGCCGTCGGCGATACCAATCTTGAAAACGTCACTCACGAAGAAGCCGTTGCAACACTCAAAGCCACTTCAGATCGTGTTTTACTTACTGTCATTAAATACAGACCTCTGACGCCAATACAACAGAATCTGGTCTCTCATTATCCAAATCGCAGTCATTCATCACTTTCGGGCACCGCTTCCATTGGAAACATAGCCTCTGAGCCAACAGCAGCCATATCTACCCGTTCATTACAAACCCCACCTCTCAATCAAATGCAAACAGATATGTACTCTTCAGATATGTTTGCCTCAAAGTCCAGTGTCGATACACCGAAGGCTTCAAGTGAAGAGGACATGACTCGTGAGCCCCGAAAAATTGTTTTAACAAAAGGAGGAACGGGTTTGGGATTTAATATTGTTGGCGGTGAAGATGGCGAAGGAATATTTATATCATTTATTCTTGCGGGTGGTCCGGCAGATCTCAGCCATGAGCTTAAGAGAGGAGATCAGGTTATGTCTGTTAATGGCGTTGATCTTCGCGGTGCTACACATGAACTGGCGGCACAAGCTCTTAAAAATGCCGGACAAACGGTCACTCTTGTGGTACAATATCGTCCCGAAGAATATAACAGATTTGAAGCAAAAATACATGATTTGCGCGAACATATGATGATGAATACGACGGGAACATTAAGGACCTCACAGAAGAAATCACTTTATGTGAGAGCACTCTTCGATTACGACCCGTTACGAGACTCAGGACTACCCAGTCGTGGTCTACCCTTTAGATTTGGAGATATATTACACGTTATAAATGCTTCGGACGACGAGTGGTGGCAATCGAGGAAATTATTGCCCGACGGCGAGGAAGAGACAGGTTTTGGTATAATTGCATCAAAACGTCGGGTTGAGAGAAGAGAGAGGGCTCGACTCAAATCTGTTAAATTTCACGGAAAGAATAATTTTTCTGATGGGAAGTCGTCAACACTCGAACGCAAGAAAAAGAACTTTTCATTTTCACGAAAGTTTCCATTTATGAAATCAAGGGATAGTAATGAAGACATATCTGACGGAGACCGAGACCTGTCGCCTACTAAAGATGTGGCCAATGCTTCGTCAACGATATCAGTACGCGAAGCTGTTGCCGCCAGTGGCGACTCGGAAGCGAGTTCTCTAAAAGGCGATGAAGTGATTTTGTCGTACGAAGCGGTTGTTCAGCAAGAGATTGATTACGCGCGACCTGTCATTGTGTTGGGTCCTATCAAAGACCGTATTAATGACGATCTGATCAGTGAATATCCCGATAGATTCGGGTCTTGTGTTCCGCACACCACTCGATCCAGACGTGAGTTTGAAGTCGATGGAAGAGACTATCATTTTGTGTGTTCGAGAGAACAAATGGAAAAAGACATACAAAATCATCTGTTTATCGAAGCCGGACAATACAATGACAACCTTTACGGTACTTCTGTGGCATCAGTTCGCGAAGTGGCCGAAAGTGGCAAACATTGTATATTAGATGTGAGTGGAAATGCCATAAAAAGACTACAAGTAGCGGGTCTTCACCCGATCGCCATATTTATAAAACCTAAATCTGTTGAATCGATTATTGAAATGAATAAAAGGATGAGCGAAGAACAGGCCCGCAAACAATATGAACGGGCGCTCAAACTGGAACAGGAGTTCGCCGAATACTTTACCGCAATAGTGATCGGAGACACACCCGAAGAGATTTATGCAAAGGTTAAGCTCGTTATTCACGACCAGTCGGGTCCCACTATTTGGGTGCCGGCAAAGGATAAACTACAATGACTTTAATCATAATATTATCGCTTAATTAGACTCAAAGGGAAATATTTTGAACATTAACTCATATATTAATCATAATTATTATAATATTATTAATGAGAAAATCTATTTAACTAAATGAAGCCTCAATTGGTGAATATTTATACATAATTGACTATTTGTTTCAATTTACTTTATTTCAATTAATTAATGCATTGATTTGTTACGACATTATTTCAATCATTGATTGAATTTTAAGCCAACTTTTATTTATTTATTTTAGAAATTTAAATGTGTTTCTATGAGTGAAACAATTAGATATTGAATGTTTGAAATGTTTGGACATATTTTGAATTTAAACATTAATTTTGTTTATATTTAATTAATTTTAGGTGTAATTTGTATAAATGCCATAAAAATAGCAAAATTTTTGTTTTATTACAGAATTTTGTTATTTATTGGACACACTATTAAGTTTTGTTTGATTTTATTCATATATCATATACTATTTTATTTGGCATTTGATAAGAGTCGGGATCTTTTAAAAAATTAATAGTTTTAAATCACATTTACTTTAGCTTAAGTTTAAAACAATCATTTAATTAGTATTTAACAGCAATTTATATAATATTATTTTAAAAATAAGTTACTTTTGTGCAAATAAATTCATTAATTCATAATTTATAACATGTGATAAAAATAATACAAAATTACATCAAATTAATAACACACACACACACACATATATATATATATATATATATATATATATATATATATATAAACATTTGTTAACGACATCATCAACAAAGCCATCTGAAGATATATATTATATAAAATATGTTATCAAAAATATTGACAATTTCTTCAAAACTAATGGCAAAAGTGTTTTTAAAGCAACGTTTTTGTCGATCGATTGGCAACTATTGAACGCTATTTCATCGTCAATACAACAAAAATATATTATCAACATTTTTTTCAATGAAGATATAATACATTTTATTATTAATATTATTTTTTGAATCTTTCTCTAGTTTTTTTATTATTAAATATTTAAAGCTTTAGTTTATTTTTATTTTTGAGAACAAATTATTTACTTAAAGACAATTTCTAATCAAAACATTATTTTTAATTATACATACATTTCATTGATTGTACACTTGTTTTACTCTATATTTATATTATTTCAATTCAAATGACAATTTTATGAAACAAAATTATAAAATTTATATTAGTTTTGTTTGTGAATTTTTAACGGGGATATTATATATAACTCAATCATTTAATGATTTTTTTGTGCACTTTTAAAATCAAATATTTACTCATTATTTCATTTTTTCTTGTTTTCATTAAATCACTTATTTTATGAATAAATGTCTAAATCAAAACAAAACACTGCTTTAATATTAATTTTTAGCAATAATTTTATTATTGTTTATTAATTGCATTTATTTACTACTTATAATAAAAACATTAAAAGATGTATTTATTTTTTAAAAAAATAAATATTAATATTAATGCTTAAAATTATAAATTGCTTCATTGTTTATATACAGCCATAAGCATATTAATACAATTAAAGTTAGATATTATTAATATGCGGTTACATAAAAATGTTAGCTTTCAATGAATATAAAGCGCAGGAATTATAAAAATCAAACTATATTTATGTGAAGCGATGCATAAATTGCATGAATTGTCTCATTTTAAAGCATTATTAATTCAGTGTTAAGCCATTGAATAAATACAAAACAATTCAATTGTTTTCAAGTTCTGTAGAAATCAATTATAAATCTCTGACTTTGCTATTTAACGGATTATGTTTTTTGTTGTTAAATAATATGCTTATTACTGTATTATATATTTTATAATTATTAAATTACTCGATGATGAATATTTGCTTATATTTTTGTATAGCATAACATATAACAGTTTATTATTATATTGTAATAATAAACTTATATACGTATAATAGTATATAATCTATAATTGTTTATTAGACGGATGTTTTACAACAATAGTTTATTAAGTTATCGCTGATATGAATGTCATTATTTTGTAAATATTAATTCTTATCATTTATTTATTATATAAAAATAATTATATTAAAAAACAAATTCTCAATTATATTATAACTGTTGTACTATTATATTAGTTTTATAATTTAAATTGAGAAACAGTATTATTTTATAATCTAATTATTGAAAATTTTAAGAATATTTATTATATTTAATTTATTAGTATCATATCATAAGTAAGATATAATTATTATTTATTAGATAATTATATTAAATATATTGTATAAATAAATTACACTCATTAATATTATCAATTTACTTAAACTTTGATGTAAAAAATGAGATTTTAAAATAGGTATTGAAGCAGAATATGTGAGACTAAAAAAAATTGAAATCCAAAATCAATAATAAAATTATGCTTTAAAAACACATTTGTTATAAAAAAATAACCTATTGTTCAAAGCTTATGTGATCATTGATTACATCAAATCATATTTTTCGGACCATAAGTTTTGTTTGAAAATGCTTTTTATGCTTTCAATGTGTAGTTTATTATTATGTATTGAATGAAGTGAACATAAAAACTAAAATTTATACGTTTAATAATGTGAAACAATAGGTCGACCCTCACGTATAGTATCTATTAATACAGTATATACACTGTTTATGATATCATATAATAAAACTATTATAAAGTTGAGTTGTTTTCCGCTTTATTAGCGATTAATTCAATTTAAATAAAATCTTAATTTAAAGGCAAAAATTGAATTTTCATTTTCACCTAAAAATATTATATATTTATAAAAAAAGACAGATAATTATAATATGACGAATAAAAACGTTTTTAATTCACATATAATTATGTAATTATTTTTACAGATGAGTTGCTCAAAGATAACAGTATTTACAAATTAATTAATAAATTGTGTGAATATATATTTATATATAATATATATTAATATATTAGCATAAAAACAATAGGACTACACATAACAAAATGAAATGTAAAATTGATTGAAATATAATATAACTAAAATTTTAATTAAATATATAAGGCCACTGTAAGTTCCTGTTAAAAAAATAATAAAAGTCATATTAATTTATCATATTTTTATTTGTTGATTAAATGACTATTATAATGCTAAACACATGCAATACATGATAATTATTAATTGTCATAACAAATGCCTCACCATATTGTGCCAAATAAATGAAATGACTGTTGGACTCGACATTAGAGGACTGAGCCTCAAGAATCTCCTGATTATAGGTTCGGATAATTAAATTTTCGTGAAATTCTGCAATATTTCTGTGAAATATGGAAACACATCTAAGTTTCAGTTCCTCGATCTGGAAGTGCTTTCTCTCCATTTGTATCCTCAGCCCCAGTATTAAAGCTCCCGACTCTTTGTTTATATAACGAATCAAATTAGTTTCGTTAACCTATTAAAGGATATATGTGTGATAAAAAAGATTTATAAAATAAGAGAAATAAGATATTTGTAAATACTATTTTAATTTATTTAATTTTGTTTTCAAATGTTTTATTCATGACATTAACACTCAGATATAATGCGTAACGAGATTTCATTGATTTGTTGGTATAAAAAACGAAAAAAATATAAATAGTGTTAAAGTCTGGCAAACAATTGGATCGATAAATCAAAAAGAGATGATTGACTTATATTTTTTCTGGTGTTTCTCTATAATGTGATTAGTGTTTATGAAATTGTATTTCAACTTTTATATTGACCGCAAAATGCCCACAAACGGTGTCACTTATTTTATTTTAGTTTTTTATTTATTGGCAATTGTAAACAATTATTAAATATTTTTTAACACCAAAAATGTGTTTAACAATTTAGACAATATTAGTCAAAACTCATTAAAGCAAAACTGTAATAACTGGAAGTTGACATAATTGACAATTTCTTATGTGTTAATCATAGAATTGAAGCAAAAATATTTAAAAGTATTTATATGTTATTTGCAAATATATGATACAAAATGCATTCAAATAATAAGTWTGTCTCCAAAGTCTGATATGTGATCTGAGAGTCAATGTCTGAAATATGTTATGTTTGTCAATATTAACCGTATTTATACTGAAATAATAAGTGACGTAAAGGAGATGTCAAAAGTGGTGAATCGTGTGATGCCTTACCTCCACATTCATGACATACCATTTGAGTTGAGCCTCGACTGCATTTGTCGTACAGTTGACGTTCAGTACTTCGTTTACATTATAACTTTGTTTCACACCTTTTATTATAGGAGTTTCACGGTTTGGTTGAATAGACCAATCTATTGTCCATCAGTTTTATAATAAAAAATAATTTTTAATTTCATATACATTTCAATAAACAGTAGTTAATAAACAAATATTTATATTATGGTCAATAAATGATCAAATATATCATTTACTATTAAAATACAATAATATATATTTAGAATTTTATTTTTATTGTGTATTACAATATGATTTTGTTGTGTTAGTTAAAATGTATTATTTTAATAAATATATTATATGAATAGGTTTTGTTCAAAACATTTAGTTGGGACCTAAAAATAAACTGTTTTTCACGGTTTGCTGACTCAATGAAATCCTAAACTTCTTGTGTGCAATAAGTTTCATAAATCATTTCTTAAAACTATTGAATTTTAAAGTAATAGATATTTTTAAGGGAATAGTAGTTATTTTATGGGGAACTCTTCGCTATAGCCATCAGTAATACAATAATACTATAATTTTCAGATCATAAATATGTGTCAAAATTTGGGCTCAGATTAACAAAATACAAACACATTTTTTGGGCTCAGAAAACATTTTTCTATTTGTATCTTATATACCGTATTATATACATATATTATACTATATTATATAAATATAGTTAACTATTTTCATAAATAATTGAATTTTTAAATAATATTATCACTAAAATCCTATTAATATTGACATAAAAATTTATGATAGCCTACATCATATGCTTTTGTTGTTATATTGTCTACACTTTATTTGAGTAAAAAATAGATATTAAGCTAATATCTCATATCAACCCATTGTTTAAATATAACATTAAAAGCAAAGTATATAATAAATGGTGAGACCTTTTCTCCAGGAATATGAACTCCGATGAGACTTATTTCTGGCCGAACCCGCGATTACATACTCGACGGCCTCAAACTCGTAAACCAATGTCAATGTTGTTGTACATCTCAAAGCTAACTGACCCCTATTAAAGAAATTAGGAGTGGCATACATTAGAAGACCCAATTGGCTGCGCTGTAGTCCATCCTTATTGGTTTCAATGGGATATTCAATCAATTGATGCGGTTGTGCCTAAAAATCAAATATTTAATTATTAAGTAAAAATAAACTTAAAATCAACAAAAATAATTAAATACAAAAATAAAACTAAACATAAAGGTTGGATCAAACAAATAATGAAAACAAACTAAATGTAATGCTACTAAATATATAAAAATAAATTTTATCTCTAAAATCATAAAAATTGTCATTTATTTGATAAGAAAACATGTTTTATATTGAGTTTCGATTTTTTATTTTAAATTGAAGTGTATTTTATTTGAGTCAACAAATGATAGTAAATTTAGTCATATATTTTTGTTGTTGGATGTGATGCCATACCATATGATCATTGATGAGCCAATGGAGTGTCGCATGAGGTCTGGCATAACCCGACTTACAGCTCAAATTGATCTTATCGTTCAAATCATACGATAACTCCGAGCCCTCAATACGGAGACTCTCTTTTGGCAGAACTGTTCACAAAAGTGGAAATATATAAAAAAAATTGTTAATAATGTCTATTATATCACAAGAATTAGTGATTCATATAAATTGAGCAAAAAATTCACTGAAATTAGATTAAAATGTATTCTGTTTTTTACATACATATGCAATATAAGTATAACTTATTATTAAACGTTAACTTATAGTGTAAAATAAATCTCGATTTTGATTTAAGTTAAGACTCTAATTATGATAAGTCAGTCCCAAATGTCGGCCTAATTGTTAATTTCAATTACATATGAAAGAGTTTTCAATGATTAATGACTTTTGAAACAAATGAAATATAAGAGAGAAAGAGAATAATGATAACTAAATTATATTAAAGAAAGTGAATAAATGATAATAAAACTAATTTCTCTTCTTTTTCATGTTTTTGAATAATTGTATAAAAAGTAATTACAATTCACAGAAATGTATGCGAAAATTAACAGTTTTCAAGTCTTTATTCACTTTTTTGCAATACTATTGTAAAAATTCCAATATTTAATTTTATAACTATAAACTGTTTGTTAAATAAACAAATATAATGCAAATACTTTATTTAATGAATACAATTTGTTTGTACTAAATTAGCTATTTTATAAATTAATTATTGAAAAACATTATTATTATATACATTGTGTTCATTATATTATTATTATTATTATTACTAAGAAATTTAAAAATTAACTCTAAAATTGCTTAGTATTAAAAATATTTATTGTTTTAACATTTGATTTATTATTAAAATATATTATTTGCTGAGAGTATTAGATATTAGATATTAGTTAATATAAAATAATAATTATAAGATACTATTTATTTGTACACTTTGGGTATCTGAGCTAATAATTCACTATTACTTAAGTCTAGTTTAATATTAACATATAATATTTGTTGATCACTAACGTCATCAACATTTTAATTGATTTCTAGTAATATTATACAATATTACTGTAGTATATTGTAATATATTATAGACTCTCCAGTTATAATTTAAATTATTACTGTATTAATTATACTAAAAATACTAAATATTTTAAGCCATAATCAGCTTTATTGATTATAAATTATATTTATAAATTAACTAACTTTATTGCATTATAGATACAGTACTTAAAATTAAAACAACCAAACATACTGTACTAACAATCTGTTTTATTGTGTAATTGTGTTGAATTTTTTATTTAACTTAACAAAGTTGTCAAACAATTTTAAAAAACATATGTTTGAATAAATAAATAATATCTACATTACATTGTTTGTCTTTATGGTCACTAAAAATCGCTACAAATATTGATTTGTTATTTGAATAGAGGTTTGAATTTAGTTTTGTTAAGGGGATAGCAATTATTAGCAAAGAGCTGACACATAGGGAAATGCACTGAAAGTGTCCTATAAATGCAAAATTACTGATTCATCTCAATTGAGACTCATTTTCGCTTGAATTGCGATTAGTTATCATTACAATTGTAATTCTGAGGCATTAGTCGATGCATTAGATGTTTGTTTCAAATTAGGCTTACAGTCAACCGATTTGAAAGCAAAACTGCTATTTATTATATAAATTGTTTCTTTAGTCTCTCTTTTAAAGGCTATATCTTTATCAGTATATGTTTCAACTCATTTATAGACATTATAGACATGTATATACTGTAAACTTAAATATTTTTATATTTTTATATATAATYTAAATAAATTTACAAATCAAACATAAATAACAATACATACCATAAACTTTCAATAGTTGTTCACTTCTGACGGTCCGATACGACGGTCCTTATAATTAAATTAATTAAATTTTACTAAAATATTTATTTATAAAAGAAATTATTAAAATCTATATAAGTTAGAAATCTTGTGTTTTTTATACATCTAAATTAAGATATTTTTGCCTCTCAATTGATATTTTATGTCATTTAATAGCACTAATGGGATTTATATATTAAGCATCACTTTAGTTGTGAGATAAAACTGTTTTTTTCGCTACAAATTTTGAGACCACCGATAATAACGTTATCCAATCATTGTTTTTATGTGTCAATTATCATTAATATCTATATTTTTGTCATATAAAATAAGCTCATTTAGTAAATATCAATCGTATGTCTGATATGTCTAATGTCATATAACCTCAAAGTCATCATTCATTTACTTGTTTTAAGACAATAAATACAATGATTAGCTATTAAGCAATAGTTTTTAAACACAATTTGTTTTATGACTTTAAGATTTATTAATATTATATGTACTTAAACTTTACTATATAACATGACATAACATTAGTAAACGTTTAAATCTTTATTTTTAAAAATCATATCTCAAGTGTTAATACATATATTGTTTATGTTAAAACGTTTAAATTTATATATATAAATTATAATACTTTAAACATTAATATAAGACAATATATTGCAATAAATGTCAATATGATTGAATAAAAAATGGGTTTATTTAGTAAACATTTATTTAGTTTAATGTCAATTAGCGTTAAACTGATACTTCAACTAAAAAGAAAAGCAAATAAACGATACTTTCCATGTTTTGACATAATTTTGCAACTTTTGTACTATTGTTTAGCCGATAAATATTTAAATTAATGATTGCATATCATTAGTATTATTTGAATGTAAACATCGCGACTTTAAGATTTTATTTTCAGTTTATAAACTAAACTTATATATCAGTATTTGTGGGATCTATTGATTTTATGTGAGACATTCAAAATAAGATCAATAAAAATCTATTTTTGTTATTAATTTTATCTATAAATTAACATATCTATATATATATATATATATATATATATATATATATATATATATATATATATATATATATATATATATATATACAGTATATAATTACATATATATAAATAAATTATAAATATTTTAAATTGTTTAGCATCTTAATGTAATTATAATCATGAGTAAAATATAACATTTTAACATTTGTTATATAATAAAGATTTTATAAAAACTATAAAAGTTATCAAATTTTTTGGACACAAATAAAGAAAATGTTTTGCAAAAATGATAACCAATTTTATAAGAGTTAAGGAATTTATAAAACTGTTTATCATTTTTTAATAGCATTTTTGGTCCATTAGTTGCTTTAAAGCATTCAATATAACGTTTCCTTTTTTTAAAAAAAAATTAGATTAAAATAGATTTTGATTTAAAATTAAATTTCAAAAAAACTTAAATAAAAATGTTTCTAATAAATAATATATTATCTTTTTAAATAATTTCAATGTTGCACTTTTAAATAAAACTAAACAATATTTTATATTATTGTCTATCTAAATAATACACATTTAGGCAAATATATTGTATTTAAAGCTTTAATGATTTTAATCAGTTATGTATACAATTATAATATAATGAGTGTTACTTAAGTAAATGTTTTAATTCCTTGAGATATTATTTTGTATATTATTGGTCTAGAAATTCATTAAATAAACTATACTATTATGTTTTATTTATATTATTTCATTTATTTGTTGTTATTGTTGTAATCATCACAACATAATAAAAATATTTTGACATTTATAACTGTTGTGAAATTGCAATTTTTATTATAAACTGAACATTTAGTTAAAATTAAATTTTTCTCTTCAAATAAGGTAATCAAATTTTTATCATAATATAATATAAAAATGCTTTAGTATTAATTAAAAATTATATACTGTATTTTTTATTATAAATTTGTAAATATATTTTGTTATAATAAATACAAATTAACGACAAATTATTGACTTACCTTCAGTACTGATCTCACACGCATACATACCATCCGAGTGCTAAATATATTAATTTAATTTTAATACAAATTTTAGATATATTTTCTAATCAATTTTATTATTACGACTTTTATTAGTACTATTATCTATAACTATATTAAAATCAATTATTAGTGATGAATGACTTACTAAATCAGTATATGTTAGGAAAGCATGAGTTGAATTTGAACGCATTACCTAATAATATGAAAAAAGTAATAATTATGATTAGCATCATATAAAACATATAAAATATCTATACTGTTATAACTTATAATATATTGAATATTATTTTTTATATGTTTTAATATATTATGCATTGAAATAAATTAATATTTGCTATAAATATTACTCTTTTGTTTAATAAGTTAATTAATGTTCAAAATTAAATATATATATATATGTATAAATATATAAATACATTTATTGGGTCTAAATATTTGTGCGATTTGTGAGTTAAACACACGGAAAGGTATAATTCCCCTCCCCATAGATTACAGCATATAAAACATATAAAGGATTGACTTTGATATGAAATGTCGTGCAAACAAACAGAGTGAGTGTGGGTCTGAGTGAGTGAGTGAGTGAGTGAGTGAGTGAGTGAGAGAGAGAGAGAGAGAGAGAGAGAGATACTGGCATTTTGTAGCATTTTTAGTTGACTTTTAGATATGAAGCTAATCTACTTTTAGTATAGTTTTGAGGTGTACTGTAGACACACCCAACCCTACCAAATATACTCTCATTGCAAACATTATTATTAGGATTTACAGTAAAATAAGTCACATCAGAGTCATATAAGAAGACAAATATATACAATATATAAGTCTAGTATTGAGTGCTCTTTCATTATATGACAATCACTCCAATAGTACTAATTTTCTTTTAAAAGCATTAAAACTAAATTATAATTTTTATATTTATATTAAATAACTATATTTCTCGTAATGATAGAAAACTTGGAGAAAAAAAATCAAATATCATTATTATATGTTTTATCATTAAATGAGTCAATCATTTATGTTTTTCAGGTCACTGTTTATCATTAATGCAATATTAAAATACTCAAAAAGATAGTCTGACAGTATGTTACAGACAAACACATACACACAGTATAAACACAATACATATTTTTCCTGACAAAAGCCTAATCTTTCGAAAGCATCTAATTATGTATATATAGAGTGACTGTCAATAAAAAAGGCTGAGAAACATGTGATAAGGGATTTCATGCATAATATATAGTGAATTGATGTGTGAAGTAGTGTCACAATACTCACGTCAACGTAAGCGCCTCTAAGTTTGAACCGTTGTCCGGGTCGGGGCTCCTCTAATGGCAGATATCGGTAAAACTCGACATAATCTTTATAATACTTGACTGAATACAGCTCATCCCCTTCCATATCAAAATTACAATGTAATAAAACCGACTGTCCCTTTGCTACGGCTGGCGGTACTTCAAATCGGTTTATACGTAAACATACGGATTCTGGTCAGGATTAAGACAATTAATCAAAATTAAAACAAACAAAATTTATTGTTACCCAAAAATAATACAACAAATATATCATATAAATAGTTTTTACAATTAAGATACAATAGCATAAAAACAATATAACAAATAAGTTTAGATTAATCTTATGCTTAGTACTAAACAGACCAACATTTGCTATTTAATTAGTCCATAATTACCAAAACATTTATTTTTTTCTCTTAAGAACTGCTTTTCTATCATCTCTTTCTTTTTTTGTCTATTATTTCAATACTCGCAACACTTAATCGGTTCAACTTTTTTCTGGTATTTTGCTTTAGTCCCTAAAATTGATTATTTCTATAGTTTTGCTCTTATAATTTGTTTGTATGTTTTTTAATTTGTATTGATAACTAAATGCGAGTTATTTTTATATATTAATTTTATTTGAACATTAGTCTTTAAAACTTAATTTTAGTTTAAAATTTGTTAAAATAAAACTTTAATCTATGATTATGATATATAAATTATTTAGTTATAAATGATTTAATATTAAATGCTTTATTCGATTGCAAAACTTATTCAATCAATTTTGGTATATATTTTGTCATTATTATGGAGTAACGTAATTAAGTTATAAACCAATTTTGAAATTAATTGAAACCATTATACAAATAGCTAATTGTAGAAAAATAACAAAAAAACTAATTTTGTTATGAATTAAGTAATTTTCTTGTGTCTAAATATATTAATAAATAATAGTTTAAGATATTTATTCAATTTTGCAAATTTTAGCCTTATTTTTATACAACAAAAGTATATTTATATAAATTATATCATATAATACTATGAGTTTCAATAGTCGAGGCGTTTCCTCATTTCATTCACTAATCGATTTCTTTAATCAAAAATCAAAATTTAATGTTTATTATCTATCATTTTGCTTAAGATGTAAATGTTTCATATGTTTCCTTAAACTAAATATAGAAAATTTAAAACACAAAAAACTATATAAAATATGCCAATTGTATTGTATTGTATTAATATAATGATATGCAATTACAGTAATATAATAAAATGTAAAATATTTTTGTCAATTTTGCAGTATTTGTTTTTAAAATAAGTTGAAATTTTAGGCAAAATTAAATATTTACAATAATATCATCCACTTTATCAACTATTTAAACATATTTATAGTTTATTTAATGATAAAAAATTTGCCACATTTTAATCTCATATCAAATGTCGGATGTTTGCGGTTATATTGAGTGGTCATTTGATGCCAAAAATAAACACTAAATTTAATTTGACTTAAGACACCGGTATTAGACCACAACTTACACATAATTTTATCTTTTTTTTTGTTAATATTTATTTTCTTTGAAAAACATTTTAATCTAAAAAAATTGTCGTTAATATATTATAATGCATTATTGTTTAGACAAATGTAAATAAAGACTTTAATATTAACAAACAACATAATAAAACATAAGTAAAATAATAATAATAATAATATTAGAAAATAAGAAATTTAATTTACGTTTCATTTTTGTTTAAATTCAACAAATGTTAGACAAAATATAACTGAATATTAAACAAATGAATCGATTTTCTCGCTTTAATACTCATATTATTAATAATTTGTATTCATAGCTACAAAAACTTTTGAAATATATTTGCTTAATATATATACGCTATATATATAAGAAATGATATATTAATTAAAAGTTCATTTGAGAAAATGTTTTACATATATTTAATGTATATATATGTGTGTAGAATTGTACAGTATGTTATATATTAAATAATATATATATCAAAAATATTTTTTTATAACAAAAAATACATTTTGTTATTTGAATGTGAAGAAAAAATTATTGGTTGTTATAACATAAGTACAATTATTATGATATAATTGTATCCAATAGATATATAATAAATTCAAATGACATTATGAATGATTAGCTTTTCATAATGAGTTTATAGTAATCAATATATGACTTCAATAATGCTTAATATATCGCATATATATATATATTTGATTATATTTGCAAACAATTTGTTAACATAACTAAACCATAAGTTATATTTTGATAAAATAGACAAAAACTGTTTTGAGTTATGAATACAAATCAATTTAAATATGATATTTGAACTCTTTTACAGCAATTGTACAAAATTTTTAGTCAAATATTATATTTTAAAATTTAACAAAAATTGTTTATTTTTACAATAAATGACTGCAATTTCTACAAGTAATTTGTTTATATATAAAAATATATTACTTTAGATTATTGTGATTATAATAATTTAGATATTGAAGAGCGAGAGAGAAAGAAAGAGARAGAGAGAGAGAAAGAGAGAGAGAGAGAGAAAGAGAGAGAGAGAGAGAGAAAGAGAGAGAGAGAGAAATAAAAATTTGTTTGAATATTAGGGTAATTGAAAGTACTTTAAAGTGAAAAAAGATTTGATGAAAAAATATGTTACATTTCGGACACAAATAAATAATAATAAATACAATAAATTTGATAAAATTCTTGAGCTCATCAATAGATCTGTGAATTGAATTATGAGTGTAACTGAAATGTGAGTCCAATCTATTATAATAACAGTAATAACACATTCAAAGTAATGGTTTTGAGTTACGCTTTGCTGACTTTCCACTAACTTTTGATTCACTAAAATATAGTAATAATAATAATAATACACTCTTTCTCTTTAATGTTAAAATGGACTGAAAATTCAATGCAAGTAAAAGAGTAAAAGTATAGAAAAAGTGAAAATTTTGGAAAATTTAAACCAAAATATTGGATAAAAATACAAAATAATATTATGTTGTCATGAAATAACAGATACCAACCCTTATTTGTGAACTACAATAGAGGTATTGTATATGTGATATCATTATATGATATTAAATCTTATATTGATATATATGTTGAGTTCAAAAATTTATATTATTACATCAAAAAAATATATTTATTTATGATTACTATTTTATGAATTTATATATAAAAAAAGTCATTAACAATTGTTGATAACTTTATTAATAATATATTTTTTATAACAAACAAATAATATATTTTTAAAAATAATCGTTATAAATTCAATAAAATCATCAGTGAAAAAATATCATCAAATAACTAATAAGTATTAATTGCATATTTTTTTATATTTTTACATATTTTAATCAACGAAACACAATTAAGAGAAAACAAACAAGTGTTTCACGATATGTTGAAATTTATATTTATTTCAAATGAATGAATAAAATAGAAAATAATTATAATTAATGATTAAAATAAGAGATAATAAATGAGTGAAAGAGAGAGAGAGAGAGAGAGAGAGAGAGAATTTTTGTTTTGCGTTAAATCCATTTAAAAAGTTTTATATGAGTTATACTAAAACTTATGTGTTTTACAGTAAAGAGTCTTTGAAAGCGAAATGCATTTTTAAGTATTAGTGAAAAACACTTTTGTCATCAAGTCTTTTACGAATAGTGTTGGCAAAAAAGAGAAATTTATAAAATAATAGAGAAATTTCTAGAAAGTTTCTAAAAGAAATTTCTATCTATGGGATCCCCATGTTAATTTTGTTTTTCTCTATATATGTTATCATGTAACAATACATTGTTTTTACAAGTAATAATAAAATATTAGTATTAATATTTTAATTATTAATTAAAGTAACAATTAATTTATTTAATTAACTTAAATTCTTATATATAATTTTTTATATAATAAATAATTATTAAAATTTTACAAAACTGATTATTATTAAATAATTATAATTATTTTACATATAGGTATTGCATTTTGTATAGTGGTGTATAGTAGGGCTGTTAGATTCCGGCAAAATATATAAATGAACATTGATTTATTATATACAGTTTAAAAAAATATTATGCATACAAAATTTTATATATACAAAAAATAATATATTATATTATTTATTATTATAATTATAAAAAAATTAACACAACAATGTTGTTGAATTTCAACGAAGTATATATAATTATCCACTGTTTAATTATTTATTTATTTTAATCACTTTAAATAACAATTTAATTATAAATTAATTGTAAACTAATTGTAATTATTAATTTATTATTTATAATTTTTAGTTACTGTTGTCTACATATATTGTATACTAAATATCTACATAATTGCTTGAATTGTTTATCACAAAAATAACACATTTAATATATTGTTTTTGTTAAACATTTTAAAAACACATCAAACAGTTATATGATTTAACTTTAAATACACTGTATAGTATAATGTTATATGAATAGTAGTGTCTCATTATTTATATATTATTACAATAGCTATAGATATGGGGATCCCATAGAATAACAATAAAGTTAAATTTCTATAGAAATTTATTCCTGAGAAACTTTCTAGAAACTTTCTCAGGGAAATTTATTAGAAACTTTCTATTTGCCCATCTCTATTTACGAAGCAATTTAAATGAAAAGATTTTTATATTATATTTAAAAAAAAAATTATGCATTTATTTTAATTTAATATTTATTTTAAACTATATTAGTATACAAAAAATTCTTCTTTAATTAAAATTAAAACTAATAATTATTTATATATCTTTAAAAAATATTTTTTATTTTCAACAAACTGTTTGCATATAATATCTAAATTTTATAATATTATCTAAATATTCAAACGTAAATACAGTACAATAATTTTACACTTATAAATGTGTTATCATAATATTTTTAACGATAAACTTATAAATTATATTAAAATTAAGTAATTGGCAAATAAAAATATTTCTAATACAATAATGGTAAGATATAATTTATATATTAATAGATCTATAATATAAGCAATGTTTTTATCAAAATGTTTGTCAACTTTGAACAGTAGTGTTCGCTTCAATAATCCCAATACCAATAGTAATCAGTAATCATAAGTTTGGGGTACAAACACACGGCTCAAACATATAAGCGAACGTTGTGTTGGCATTCATAACATTAATCACATTTGATTGCAAGTGTCATAAAGTTTTTGAAGCGCTTTTCTCTCTCTCTCTCTCTCTCTCTCTCTCTCTCTCTCTCTCTCTCTCTCTCTCTCTCTCTCTCTCTTATTTCGTAAGACTAATTACTAACCAGTAGTTAATATAATATATATATATAATACATAATAATAATATAAATGAAAACTAATTGTATTATGACTAGTGATATATTTATTGGCATATATGGATGTGAATCACGTTGTGATCAAAATAAAACTAAAGCAATGACTCAATGGAAACTATTGACCAAACTTTGCCTTCAAATATATTGTATGTTTTGAATTTTGATGAACTTTTCAAATACT